TTTTCGCAATAGACTGAATTTGAATGACGTTATAGTTCAAAACGTAGGTACATAGTAGGTGTACCTATAGTAGGTGTAGTGGACACCAGAATTTCAAGATAATAATATTGTTGCTATGCTTACTAAATAATTAAATTAATAAATAAAGAAATTTTATTTATTTTTCCATCACAATACATAATGATGTAGATCTTAATATTAATCTTATAATATTGACATAAGCTTGTTTCTTCACTTCACCTTGGTTCTACATAGGGTTTAATGCAGTTTACCTGACAATGCATTGATGAAAGTCAGGAACCCAAACTAAGATAACCCGTGCTTTGGGCTCCTATTTATTTTTAATACTATTTTTAAAATGTATTTAATTTTAGAAGTATTTTTATTTGATAAAAATGATTGAAAACAATACCATAACCATAAGTAGCTATTATATCTAATAATGGTTTATTGGCTTACATCTTGGGGAAATTATAAACGTAATTTGATTATTGCTTAAGTTTTTACTAGTACTATTTAGTACTCGTGAGATATTGATGTTATTGATAATGTCATATGTCTTGGTTTAAGTGCAACAATGTTCAATGATCAAACAGTGTTGTTTGTCAACACAACTCCTTCTTTGAACGTCTACTAGTATAATTAGCGAGGATGACGCTACCTATACAATTAAATAGATCGGACTAACTTACCTGTGACGTCCGATCCTCAATTGTGTAGGTAGCGTCATCCTCGCTAGGTCCCAACCCTTCCCGAATAATAAGCATGTTTATTTTTACCCCTGGTCGAGTTGTGTTGCAGTTGCAGGTATGCTTTGAAGTAAATGATGTTGCCAGTGAGATGACCATAGAGTATAAATATTTTTTTTATGAATGTGTTCATCTTTAAATATTGTGACAGCGTGCCCAGATTAGTGCCTACTACTAGTATAATTAGCGAGGATGACGCTACCTACACAATTGAGGATCGGACGTCACAGGTAAGTTAGTCCGATCTATTTAATTAGGTGCGACAATAAGGTACTTGCCTTGTTTTAAAGGGGGGGAAATCATCCAATGTCTTCTCCCGCCTTGTGTAAGGTGAGAGGGAGTGTCATACTCTTACTGACTAAATACCACCCCGTTCCTACTCCTGCACTTCGAGCCGGAGCCCCGGCAACCCGTTAGGCCTTCCGCGGCTCCGTATCGGCATCAGCCCTATTGGGCCCCATCCGTGGTCTGATGGCTTTTTGAGCTTGCCTTGGGCGCCTAGGGCGCTCTTTAAATTGAATCAGCTTCTGAGTAAAGTTACCTTTTTTGTAGTTCGAGTAAAAATCTTCAAATGGTCTAGCTTTTGGGTACATAGATACAAAGGTAGGGGAGTGTGTAGGACTCTTACTTCGCTAAAACCATTATGGTAGCCACCATCAGTACCTATAAGAAGCATCGGGTCCTTTAACTGCCTCGTTGGCCGAGTGATTTCGATTCCCGAGTCGGGAAAAGTATTACTGGGTTTTTAAAAATTCTCAGTAGTAGCACGGAGTCTGGAATTTTGCCCGGTATATGGCAACAGGCTCACCCCCTATTACATGGGACTCGTAACATAAATAGTGAAAAGTGGGTGTTACATTGTACAGCGGCATAATGTCCACCTCTGCCTACCCCTTCGGGGACAACAGGCGTAATGTTATCATGTTATAGGTCCTTTAAATAGATCAACTCCGAAGTAATTTTTTAATTAACAGTTTTATTTAGCTTGCCCCATTCGTTCGTTAGTTTATTTAGGTCTTTAGTAATTGGAATTCCACCCCCTTCCTGGCGACAGATCGATCTGATATTTGGTACACACTCTTAATCTTGATGACTATACAATATTACTTGTCTCATTTTTTTATTGGTCAGACGGATCTGACGCTAAACATACATAATAATACATAACTTCATATCTGTCTCTCATGGGGGTAGGCAGAGACTATGGAACGCCAATTGCTACGATTCCTACATACCTCTTTCGCTTCATCAACAGTCATCAATCTTTTCATGCAAGCTCGTCGGTTAAGGAGTACCCTTAACCTTTTAATTTGGCCCTTCTTTAATATATCGCCAATATGGTCACTATTTGTCCGTCTAGGGCGCCCTCTACCGACGGCCCCATTCATATCTGCTCTGTATATTTCTATGATGGTAAGCAATCCTTACTAATATTATAAATCGGAAAGTGAGTTTGTTTGTTTGTTTGTTCCGCTTTCACGCCGTAACTACTAAACCGATTGCTTTGAATTTTTGCAGACGTAAAGTTAGAAGTCCGCATTAAATAATAGGGTACTTTTTATCCCGGAAAAAATTGATATTCTCGAGGGAAAACAAAAGTATCGGTATAGATGGCGCTGTGTGTATTGGTATATGTCACATTGGCTTTTTATCCTTTTGTGAAGCGAGCGAAGCCGCGGGTAAAAGCTAGTAAGCAATAAATACAAGCACACTAGCCTATTGGCGATTATAAATTTGAGGTTATGGGGATTTAGAGATGGGAGGGAAGATTGGGCTTATAATAAACACTATACAAACCTTGTTTCACGCTGGTTCTATCTGTGTGGCTATGTGTGTACGATCAAGCCAATCAACTCATTCCGAAGCTTGGCTCTCACACACTTAAAACATTTTCACAAGGCTATGTTTGCCTGGTGTCTGGTAAATGAGAGTTCCGGATGTTAAACCATTTTTACATATTTGATAAGTGCGTCATAATTTTCATGACATTTAAAAAAAAGCCGTTGAATTAATGGTTTTAATGTTTCCCACATGTTTTTTTTAAGGGGGGAAAATCATCGAATGACTGCTCCCGCCTGGGTGAGGCGGAAGGGAGTGTCAGACTCTTACTGACTAAAAACCACCCCGTTCCTTCTCCTGCACGTCGAGCCAGAGGTCCGGTTACCCGTTAGGTTCTCCGCGACTTCCTACATGGTTAGCTACACACTCGTGATTCTTCTAGTATTGCAAGTGGTGTCCGCTTACGATTAGTACAACCCGTGATAACCATAAGCTTTGTTGTTGCCGATATCGCAATACTTGTATAAATAAAGTGTTAAATAATTTATGTTAACACGTAGTAAGCTTGCAAAAAAAAACTGGCTTGATCAAGAAAAAGAAATACAAAAAATATGTCCGTGCACGTAACGGCATCTATTGAGCAAGTTACGACATAGTGACTAATGACTGTCACCATTCACCAATGATGATCAATAAAGTTCGTCGTTGTAGTTCAAGATCAGAATTATAGATGGCGTTGATGAACAAAATGTCGTCACTGACTGAACAATCAGCAAAAAAAAAGCTAACAAGGATGTAGCGAGGTTGACTGTCCAGGCGACACACGTACTTAGGTATCGTCATGAGCTAATGTTCACATGTAAACAGCAGCTCATGTAGTGTAGATGTCCAGTCAACAAGGATGTAGCGAGGTTGACTGTCCAGGCGACACACGTAGGTAATTAGTTACCGTCATGAGCTAATATTAATATTATTATGTAAAAATATTTTATGTAAGTACATTAAATGCTATGCAAAAATATGGACTTTCTTCCGCTAAGTATAGGAAAACTTTTAGTATAGTGAAGGAAACCACCAATGTCGATAAGTAGCCAGCAAAATTATCGTGGGTAACCCAAGTTCATTACGTTAATTTTATAAATCCTTTCTCCTGGCCTTGGTCCAATTAGGTTGTAGGTACTGTGTCGCCTAGCTCCTGTATCAATATTATTGTTCATGAAGCGGCTGCGTCTGACATTTCCTCCATAATTCCAATGCCCGCTAATCCTGACAAATCGCTGAACCACGGAGGTTAATCATCGCCAAAATTTCAGGCTTTGGACAAGTAATGTTAAAATCTAAATATGATTTTAGCCAGAGAAATCATTACTTTGTCCGATAATTGAACTTCAACATACAAATACTTGAGCGCCTATTAACCGAATTATTGCATCAACTGTACATTCCTTATAAATCAAAAGTAAGTGATATAATTAATAACATCGAATTAATTTCATTTCTTTGTTAGTTTTGCTTTCACTCCTATATCGCTGAACCCATATTTAGTTTAAGACACAGATAGAAAAGTAAACCCAGTACTTAATTGTTTCAGAGTCGTTTTGTTAAACACTGGGCCAACGAGGCAGTCAAATGATTATGAATGTCATTATGTAATGATGTGATTTCTAAATTAACGAATTTTTAAGTTCAACTTTCTCTTACGAAATAATCTCCAATGAAAAAAGTGCATGCAATTCATCATTTTAATTTAAGTAGGTACTTTACTGTATTTGTTTAACAATTTTTTTACCGATATCGATAAAAAAATCTGCAATCTCTCCACACACTATTACTCAATGTTTTCACGGAATATGAAAGTAATGAACCGATTACTACATAAAGTTCTAAGTGCAATTTCCTATAAATCGAAATTCTACCTTCAATATTGAGTAGTAAGGTACATTATTGACTGAATTAATTACCCCACCTAGGTCTCAAGGGTAAGGGAATCTAAGAAGTGAATGGGAACTCACACATTCGGAATACGAGTTTTTTAATCACTCAAATATAGACTCTAAATCAATGGGAGAAAGTAGTATTTAAATCAAAAGTCCTTGAGTACTTAATTCCAAAGTTATGAAATGAAATGACAAACACATGGGACGCCTAGCAATTACAAAAGACCACAAGAAACTTGACTAATTGCAAAAAAATCTACACTTTATTACGTAATAGTAGAGTCGTAATTCGAATGCTAATGACGTGTACTTATGACGTTTTTACGGCAGTGAAAGTTGAAATTCGTTCCTTGTTCGTATTTTAGTTTGGCGGCAAAACCGCTCCGTGGTTGACGTTTTTATTTTTTTTATACACGAGTTTAAAAAAATGGCGGGCAGTGGTAGTCATTGAAATGTTTCTATTTTGATATTTTCGTGTTTATTTCTTGTTTTCTATCCAAGTGTTGTGTGTTAAAATTAAAAGAAATTAACAAAAATGATTATGGAACGGTGTGTGTGTTTCTTCCTACTTTCTTTAGGTAAGTTTTGCTTATTCAAATAAAGTTTTGTAAACTTGTCTATGGATTTAAAAAATACCGATAATATTGCTAATTCTAGGCATTATATTGCGACATCGTTTGTTACGAATAATGTGTAAACTTTTATAATGAATATTGTTTTAAATTAAATTCATAGATATACCTAAGAAAGTTTTAATTTATTTGTATTTTCGTTACCTAATAGTTCGTTACACAATAGGCAGTAAAGTTTAAGGTTCGAATACATGATCGTAGGTCACGTAAGAGCACGAAAGACTTGTAATACTACCTCGTTGATTGGTCGTAACTACGACTGCTGAGTAACATCTCTACAGTTCGATCCTCGGGTCAATCATTTATGAGACATTTTTCCCTTTAGACTATCTATTTCTCTTTATAAATTTACCGGCTTATCCCACAACAAACAAATCAAGCTTCCTTGTGCGTACTGCTAAGGAGTGGAATTCTTTGCCAGAATCTGTATTTCCTGAAAGGTATATATAACCTGGGTTTCTTCAAGGCCCGAGTGAATAGGTTGCTCATGGGACGACGTGCTCCATCGTAGACCGCATCATCGCTAACCACCAGGCGAGATAGTGGTTAAACATCAGTTCCATCACTACATAGTATAAAACAAAGTCGCTTTCTCTGTCCCTATGTCCCTTTGTATGCTTAAATCTTTGAAACTACGCAACGGATTTTGGTGCAGTTTTTTTTAAATAGATAGAGTGATTCAAGAGGAAGAGCAAGGCGGGTCGCTAGTCCTTACTTCCTTAGTTATATTATAAATCTGAAAGTGAGTTTGTTTGTTTGTTCCACCTTCACGCCGTAACTACTCAACCGATTGCTTTGATTTTATGCAGACGTAAAGTTAGAAGTCCGGATTAAATAATAGGGTACTTTTTAACCCGGACAAAATTAATATGCCCGAGGAAAAACAAAAGTATTGGTATAGATGGCGCTGTGTGTATTGGTAGATGTCACATACATAGGCTACTTTTTATACTTTTGTCACGCGAGCGAAGCCGCGGGTAAAAGCTAGTTTAATATAAAAAAAGTTTTATTGCAGTCGTATCAACTGCGTTCAGACTGCATCTGAACTGCAATTTGCAGTTGAATTGCAATTGAAATGTAAGTAGTTCGTCTGTTTAGAGCAGGGGTCCAACCTTTTCCAGGATCACTTTGATAATTCTTGTTACTTTAGGTACCATTAAAACAATTACTTTTTTCATGTTGTCCTACTCTAACGTCTTAATATCATTTACCCATAAAAATAGTGACTTCACACTTACATCAACAGCATGTACTTAAATGCCCACTGCTGTAAAGCCTCTTCTCACACGGAAAAGGTTTGAGCATTAATCATCACGCTTGCTCAATTCGGGTTGACGATTACAAACTTATAATTAGAAATTATAAGACCAGGATTCCTCACGATGTTTTCCTTCATCGTTTGTCATTGGTGTCTGAATAATCTTAGAAGGTACATATAATTCGGAAACAGTCACATTGGTACTTGCCGTTGGTTGGCTTCGAACCCGCACCCTCATGCATGAGAAGCGGGCGTCTTAAACCTCCGGGCCACCACGACATTAAAAAAAACATTTCAAAAATAGTGCTGCTTCATTGGCCGAGTGGTCGCAAGCGCAACTGCCGGGCAAGGGGTCTCGGGCTTGATTCCCGGGTCGGGCAAAGTATTACTTACTGTGTTTTGTTCAAAATTTTCAGTAGTGGCACTGAGTCTGGAAGTGCCCGGTATATGGCAATAGGCTCACCCCCTATTACATGGGACTCATAACATAAATAGTGAAAAGTGGGTGTTACATTGTAGGTACAGTGGCATTAAGTGCCGTAATGTGGACCTCTGCCTACCCCTTCGGGGCTAAAAGGCGTGATGTTATGTTATGTTCAAAAATAGTGACTTAGATTTCTGAAATCAATTGAACCTCTTTGTTTTCTCCTTTGATTTTTGTTTGAGTTTTATTTGAAGTTCGAGCTGTCAATTTATTGTATAGACTAGTCCTATTTGTTTTTTTACATTGCCCGAACCATTTATTGTCTTCTGCGGACCACCGGTTGGGAACCACTTGTTTAGAGCCTAAGTGTTAGTTGACTTTATATGAATCAGGTGTAAGAATAACTACTCAAGGGAGAGCCAAGAGCCATGCTTCAGCACTGCTGCCCAGCCCATTCCCCCTTCCCCCTCTATCCTCAGAATGCCCAAATTCCCGGCAACGCATTTTTAACTTATTTGGTGTTTCGGGTTTGTTTGTTTGATCGTGCTAATCTCCGAAATTACCAGTCCGATTTGAATAATTCTTTTTGTGTTGGATAGTGTATTTATTGAGCAAGGCTATAGGGTATGAAACATCACGCTACGACAAATAGGAGCTGAGCAGAGCGTGTGAAACCGCGCGGAAGTAGCTAGTACATGGATATACATGATCGGGATGGATAGTGCATTTATCGAGGAAGGCTATAGGATATAAAACATCACGCTAAGACTATAAGGAGCCGAGCAGAACAGGTGAAACCGCGCGGCAGTATTTAAATAAGATAAGTACATAAGTTTGTGATTTATTCTCACCAGTGTCGAATACATTACCTAACCTAACCTTGTGTGTATGTGTGTCACTGGTTACAATCTCACGAACTATGTATAGGTAAGAATGTATTTTGTCACTTATTAACGTCTGAGAATGATGGGTCAAGGATTAATTTATTTATTTACACTTTTATACAGAAGTATATACGATGGTGGACTTAATACCGGATGGCATTCTCTAACAGTCAAACATGGGGTGATAAACATATAAACCCCTAAACTGTCACTTAAGTAAGAGGAATCCGCACCCTCATGCATGAGAAGCTGGTGTCTTATACCTCCGGGCCAACTTTGAACTTATTAAACTTCCGATCAATCAGCCAGCGAAGAGTAAAGAATATGGCAAACCCTCTTATGTAGTGGTCCATAGTTCAACAGTGAACTGTCCTGCGAAGACCAATTGGACCTTGAGGGTCGAGAGGTTGGAACCACGTCACAATACCAATCTCAAGTCGTTTGTGGTGCGAGTTCCGACTCCACATCTCGACAAATTCCTGGAGGCAGAGTTTTAGCCGAAGGGTGTTATATACCGACGTTCCGCCCGCGCCTCAAAGAGCCATCAGACCACCACAGATGGGGCCCAATAGGGCCGATGCCGATTCGGAGTCGCGGAGAACCTAACGGGTAACCGGGGCTCCGGCTCGACGTGCAGGAGAAGGAACGGGGTGGTTTTTAGTCAGTAAGAGTCTGACACTCCCTTCCGCCTCACCCAGGCGGGAGCAGTCATTCGATGATTTTCCCCCCCAAAGTAAGAGTCCCTTAGTGCCAGGTAGCACTAAACTAAGCCTTTACTTTTACTGTTAAGTGGCACGTATAGGTTGATGAAAATAAAAATGACGTTAAACGCCACCTATTTTAGTTTAGGGGTTGCTTTAAATTTAGGAGAGGTGGGTAAAAAGGGTATTAGATATTGTAATATCTTACTTATATCACGCCTTATGTCCCCAGTGGGGTAAACAGGGGTGTCCAAATTAAATGTAATGTTGCATTTTCCAGGTGAATTGTGACTTCCATGTAAAATTTTACCATTCTTTAAAAACGTCGCCATTACTGGCCTCATAATATTTCAGTTTTTAGTTAAGTATATTCTATTCATACTTCTAGTTAGTTGACGACGAATGATGTCGTTGATGCTGGCATAGCGAGCTATGCAGCCTGAACTTCTGCAGCAAGAAAGACCATGGTGTCCGAAGCCATCGACTCTTTCTCCACATTAATGATCCGGAAACCTAATTTAATATCCCTTGCTGAGCAGATGCAATTATTACCTACCACTTAACCCGTCGAGCGTCCGCGTTCCTTATGCATTTTCTTATCCTTATGCATGCAAGAAAATGCATTTATTTGGCCATTGGCACACGAAAACAAGGATCAAACAATAGAAATAAAACAAATACAGTCAAAATAAAAACAAAACATGAATAATAGATTTTATAAAAGAGAAAGCAGCATGGAGCATTTTTTCTTATGATCCACCGGGTGCTCATAAGGACGCTGGAGGGGTTAATTTACGAGATCTTTAGCTAAGCACCTACTTAGTACAACAAGTAATTGCTGTGCTCAGACACATTAAAATATTATTTGAAACTATTCCTTAATGGCGATTGTGGTCCCGAAAACAATTACTAAAGACTGTTTTACGTAATCATTAAATACAGAGGCGAACTAACCTAAAGAGCGCCCTGGACAAGCACATCGTACACACACACACACACACACCCACACATCAACAGCCTATAAGCGTCCACTGCTGACCAAAGGCCTCTTCTCACACGGATAACGTTTGAAGCATTAATCACCACGCTTGCTCAATGCGGGTTGGCGATTTCAAACTTATCATTGTAAATTGACAAGCCCAAGTTTCCTCAAGATGTTTACCTTCATCGTTTGTCTGTGGTGTCGAAATACCTAATCTTAGAAAGTACATATAAGTCGGATAAAGTCACATTGGTACTTGCTGTTGATAGGTTGCGAAACCGCAGCCTCATGCATGAGAAGAGGGCGTCTTACCTCTGAGACACCACGACATTGACTGAAAAATACAGATGCTAATAAGTTACTATAGGGACAATAATGATGTGTTCAATAAAAGTTAAAGTTTTTCGAAGCAACACCCAGTCCTTACGATTATTTTCTTTAACATTACATGGGTTAATCTAGCTTCTGCCACCGACTTCACCCGCCTTTCTGTGGAATTTAAGGTAGCCTATACATATGTAATTTCAGAACATAATACACTCCTGTTCCAAATTTCATTCCCATTCTTTCAGCCATTTCGATATGATTAGTAGGATTATGAAAGATTGCCTTGTTATTGTGACTTTGTTATATAAATATAGTTTTTATTCTAATAGCAATATTTATTTTCCAGTATCCCAGTCATTCGCTTCAGTGATCATTCCTGAAGAGCTGCCATCTTTACTTTCAGTGGCGTACTCAAATATACCGCCTATCAAAAAAGGTAAGATTCAAAATCAATATTATGATAATCTAAGTGTGGGAGAGCCATGCTTCGGCACGAATGGGCCGGCTCGACCGGAGTGATACTACGGCCTCATAGAAAACCGACGTGAAGCAACGCTTGCGTTGTGTTTCGTCATGTGAGTGAGGTTACCGGAGACCCAATTACACCCCCCCCCCTCCCCAGTCTCCTGAATCTAAATTCATAATTCCCAAAAGACCGGTAAAGCACTTGTAACGCCTTAGTGTTTCGGGTGTCCATGGGCGGCGCCGATAACTTACCATCATCAGGTGATCCGTCTGCTCGTTTACCATCAGGTGGGCCGTGTGATTTTTGCCACCGTCGTGGTATAAAAAAAATATATTACTTTTTAAAAGTCCGGCAATGTATTTCTGCCTTCTCTGTTGTTGCGGGTGTCCATGAGCGATGCTGATTGCTTTATTTATTCCTATGTAAATTATGCTTTCAATCAGAAATATTCTTTTTTTTTAAAAAAAAAACGTTGCCCCACACTAGGATTTTCTCCTGTGTCGTGGGTGCGTTTACAAACATACAAGTTCACATACACAATGACACCCAGACCCGAAACAACAATTTGTGGATCACACAAAGTGTTGTTCCGTGCGGGAATCGAACCCGCGACACGTTGCACGGCAGCCGGTTGCCCAGCCACCGTACCAACCGTGCAGTCAAAAGTCTTCTGTCTTCGTCATCATAAGAAAAATATTTAATGAATCCAAATTATCCAAAATAAACCTATGTTTACTTGTTAGCAACCCAAGGTTCCATCAGACACCTTCCAATTCCATCATCAAACCAACTCGATGGCACCATAATATTGTATTGTTTCCAGGGTATCACAATTAACAATCTAATTAGTCCGTCAGTTAGATAATGAAAAAATATTAGACACGTATTTTTTTATTTTCTCGTATTAAGTTGCAATACTTAGATAAAATGGCGCTAAATTTAGGAGTGGGAGGTTGTTACGTCATAACGTGCTAAAAATGTGGCACGCTGTGACGTCACACGATATTTGAAATTAATATATCGTTGAAAGTATTATTTTTGTGAGAAAAGAAAAAATACGTGTCTAAAGTTTTAAATTAATGTACGAGACTTAAAATAGAATTTAGGAAACTACCTTATTGCCAAGTTTCATGACGATAAAGCAGTTAGAAGTGTGTGTAATTCAGATTCTTAGATTTTGTTACATACGCCGGAATACTGAAACGTTACTCAATTTTAAGTCGTGCTCAAATATCGTGCCATCTCTGTCATTTTACAAAGAATTTGTAGAGATAGAACTATACTTAAGCGCGACTTAAAATTGAGTAGCGTTTCAGTATTCCGACAATAGTTCGTTATACAGGTCGACCTAAGAGTCGTGTTAAAATCAATTTTGATATTATTTCAGGGACGGACTCTCGTGTCGGTTTCGGCTTCGCATTTGGCAACCATGCTGACTTCCAAGTCATGTTCGAGTTGGGACCTCAAACAAATACACAGGCTCTAAGTAAGTTACTTTTAAAATCTTATTTGTATCTAGGAGTGGAATTCCTTGCCAGATTATACCCTGAAGGGTAGGCCCGAGTGAATAGGTCGCTTATGTAGACGTGCTCCATCGTAGACCGCATCATGGTGCACCAAAAGGCGAGGGGTCCTTAAGTTTAAGTGTTATTAGAGATTTTTTGAGTTTTTCGGAAATTCTTTAGTAATACTGCCTCTTGATGTAATGACTGCCTCAATGGCCGAGTGGTCGCAAGTGCGACTGCCGGGCAAGGAGTCTCGGGTTCGATTCCCGGGTCGGGCAAAGTATTACTGGGTTTAAAAAAAGAAACTGGTAATGTGCCCGGTTTATGGCAATAGGCTAACCCCCTATTACATGGGAGTCATAACATAAATATTGAAAAGTGGGTGTTACTTCTGAGTGCACCTCTGCCTACCCCTTCGGGCATAAAAAGCGTGATGATGATGTCTTGACCTATCAGCCTGCTACCAGTTATCGGCAAACTGTTTGAGAGGATATTGCTTAACAGGATGAAAGAACATCTAAGTAGAGTATTACCGAACCACCAATTTGGATTCCGGGAAAAACACGGGACAATTGAACAAATACACCGTATAACTGACATCATTAGCAGGTGCCTTGAAAACAAATTATACTGCTCTGCTGTGTTTCTGGATATTAGCCAAGCATTTGATAAGGTATGGCATGACGGCCTCCTGTTCAAGGTAAAGAAGCAACTGCCGCATTGTCTATTCAGAATACTAGGATCCTACTTAGATAAAAAGTGATGATGATGATGATGCTACCAAGTGAAGTGCAGCGATGATCTTTCAGAAGTACACGAAATAAAGTCAGGTGTTCCTCAGGGCAGTATCTTGGGCCCTGTACTATATCTCATCTTTACAGCAGATATCCCAACAACTGACTACACTACAACTGCGACATATGCTGATGATACGGCACTACTGTCGGCTCATAGCAACCCAGAAACGGCATCATCACTGTTGCAAAACCATCTGACGGAAGTTGAGGTATGGCTGAAGCGTTGGAGAATAAAAGCCAATGAGAGCAAATCAGTACATGTGACTTTTACACTCAGGAGAGAAACATGTCCACCGGTAACGCTCAACTGCAAAGTGATCCCTCAAAATACTTAGGCATGCACCTAGATAGGAGACTTACATGGCAGAAATATATTTGGTCAAAGCGCAAACAATTAGATGGAAAACTGCGGTCACTGAACTGGCTGTTGGGATCCCAATCGCAAATAAATTGTAACAGCAAGATGTTAGTATACAAAACCACCTTAAAACGAATATGGATTTACGGCATACAACTGTGGGGAACGGCCAGCAACAGCAACATAGACATCCTAGATAGATTCCAAACCAAAGCCTTGAGAACAATGTTTGGCATCCCTCATTGCATAATTAACAAATACATATACCTCGACCTCGGCCTAAAAACAGTTCGGCAGGAAATAGCTCAAAACAGTTTGAAATATCAGGACAAACTGGCAGCCCATGTAAACACATTGGTACACGCTCTGAGTGAAGACACCCTTCGGCATACCAGGCTAAAAAGAAGTGACATACCGAGCCTACATAAAAGATTTACCACTTGACGACAAGAGAGTCGTGTGAAAGGAATTTTCATACAAATATTGCTCTTGAAGAAAACATAAACTGAGAAATCAGACAAAGAAGTGGCTTGTTGTTGAAAAACAGATTGCCATGTAGCAGAACTCAACCAAAAGAAAAAAAAAAGATGATGTCTTGAGTTATTACTCAGAGATATTATTTAGATCCCTAAACGCCCGATGTATAGCAATTAGCAATAGACTCACCCTCACTAGAAAATTGGTTGTTATATTGTACTAGCTTCTGCCCGCGGTTTCGCCCGCGTTTCCGTGGGATAAAAAGTAGCCTATGTGTTATTCCACACCATAATCTACCCCTGTTCCAAATTTTATTACAATCCCTTCAGCCATTTTGGCATGATTGAGTAACAAACATAGACACGAACTCATCAATTATTATATTAATAATAATAGGAAATTATTATATTAATAATAGGAAATAAGATTTCGCCAACATACTGCTTAACAGTTTGGCGATGCTTAGTAATAAGTTAAATTCATGTATATCATAATATCATCTATAAGTGAATAAACAAAAAAAAAAAAAGTGAGACATTCTGCCCTTATTACCATGTCAGAGACTAAAAGGCCTGGTACTAGGAATAAAAAAAATACTAAAAAACCTTTACTTTTTAATTTCGCATTTTATTTATGATTTTGACCTCCAAATCACAGTTACTTTATTTCAACCGGAAAAGTACATGGTCAACTACCATTCAAGTGGTTATTTTTTAACATTTAGGTACTTTATAATTAGTTTAATACTTTTTAACGACATTGACTACTAAATGAACTAAAAATCGCGGGTTACTTACATGAATGTACTGAGAAAAGCTCTAAATGGAGCACGTACGTCTACATAAGCAACCTATTTACTCGGGACTTGAAGACACCCAGGATGATGAGAGGGTATGAAAATTATAAATCTAATTAGTCCGTAAGTTAGGTAATGAAAAAATGTTAGATACGTATTTTTTTATTTTGATGTATAATAAAACAATACTTAGATAAAACGAATCAAAGTTTAGGAGTGGGGGCTAAAACGTCATTTCTACGTATAAAATGTGTACATAGAAGTGACGTCACGCGACATTTCAAATCAATGTATCGTCGAAAGTATTCGTTTCTGTAAGAAAATAAAAATTACGTGTCTAATGATTTAAAATAATCTACCAGACGGATATTAAAATAAAAATTAGGCATCTACCCTATTCCACTCCTTATAAGCAGCTGTTCTTTTGAGAAAAAAAGCATTTAATATAAACTTTGAATTCGATTTGAGAATCGGATAAAGGGTTTACTGGTAATTCCATCAGTCCGTATTACATGGGACTCATAACATAACTGGTTACATTGGTTACATTGTATATAGTGGACTCCTGTCTACCCCTATAAAAGTTGAAATGTTATGTTATAATTAATATTATTTTTACTTTTTTCACAGACGGTCAAGGTTTCCAATCAACATCTTCAAATGCCAAGCGACAAGTCAATTCGCCACCGCCAACGAAAGTACACAAAAATAAAGAAAAGGTAATACTTATTTTTTACCAGCCCTACTCCGTCCGACCATGGTACTGAGCGAGGGGGACTGGGATGCCGTCTCCTCCTTTTGCGAAGCAGTCATGCTAGCTAAGGAGGAGGCGGGACGCGTGAGGCAGCGAAGCGCTGCCTTCTCGCAACCCAGCCATCGCGAAGGACACTCCGGGCGCCGGGGATCGCGGGACGATCTCCGGCCACCGTAAGCGCGGGCCGGAGGACGGCGAGCATCCCCGTCCGATCAGAAACAGGCCCGAGCGTACGGCGCGTCGCGAGCCATCAGACCACCACAGACGGGGCCCAAAAAAGCTGATGTCTTAACGGGTTGCCGGGGCTCCGGCTCGAAGTTCAGTAGTAGGAACGGGGTGGTTTTCAGTCAGTAAGAGTCTGACACTCCCAGTTAAGTTACGAGTGGGACGTCGTTACGTCACTAAGTGCTACAAAATGTAGCGTATTGTGACGTCACACGATATTTCAAATTATTATATCGTCGAAAGTATTTAATTTTGTGAGAAAAGAAAAAATATGTGTCTAAAGTTTCAAATTAATCTACCAGACGGACATTAAAATAAAATTTAGGCAACTACCCTATTGGTATACAGGTTGTAGACAACGGTTTAAAAAATCTGACTGTGTATGTTACTAACATGTAATTTCTTTTTCCAGTACCACTCAGACGCGGGCAAATACCTTCAAAATTGGGCTCAGAAGATGAAGTTCCCCCAAAAGCAGACGCAAAATGTTCAGAAACCCGGCGATGTGCCCAACCTAGAAGACTCCATGGTGGAACTCATTAAGAATGAGAAGGGAGAATATGAAATACATCAACCGAAGCCCGGGAACTTGCCACAGAACATTCTAGAAGATCTAAAGAAGCTGTACAAGCTGAAAAGCGAGGCCGCGAAAAAGATGGGTGGCACAAAACGAAGCGAGGAGGAAGTTAAAAAGATAACAGAAGACTTGTCAAATGTGGATCTTGATTGAGTCTTTTTTGTATATTTTTGTATTTAAGTAGTTATGTAATAAATGGGGCTTTCTGTAGCATTTTTGTTTTATTTTATATGATTAAGAAGTATGTAAGAAGCGTAGTAGGTGGCGCTCTGTAGTTTTTGTATACCATCAGATGTATGAATGTGATGGAAGCTAAAGAAGTATGTAAGGAGCGTAGTAGGTGGCGCTCTGTAGTTTCTGTATACCATCAGATGTATGAATGTGATGGAAGCTAAAGAAGTATGTAAGGAGCGTAGTAGGTGGCGCTCTGTAGTTTCTATATACCATCAGATATATGAATGTGATGGAAGCTAAAGAAGTATGTAAGGAGCGTAGTAGGTGGCGCTCTGTAGTTTCTGTATACCATCAGATGTATGAATGTGATGGAAGCTAAAGAAGTACCTATGTATCCCGGAGAACCTAACGGGTTACCGAGGCTCCGGCTCGACGTGCAGGAGAAGGAACGGGGTGGTATTTGGTCAGTAAGAGTCTGACATTCCCTCCCGCCTCACCTAGGGGGGAGCAGTCATACGATGATTTTCCCCCCTTAAAAAAAGCTAAAGAAGTATGTAAGGAGCGTAGTAGGTGGCGCTCTGTAGTTTCTGTATTCCATCAGATGTATGAATGTGATGGAAGCTAAAGAAGTATGTAAGGAGCGTAGTAGGTGGCGCTCTGTAGTTTCTGTATACCATCAGATGTATGAATGTGGTGGAAGCTAAAGAAGTATGTAAGGAGCGTAGTAGGTGGCGCTCTGTAGTTTCTGTATACCATCAGATGTATGAATGTGACGGAAGCTAAAGAAGTATGTAAGGAGCGTAGTAGGTGGCGCTCTGTAGTTTCTGTATACCATCAGATGTATGAATGTGGTGGAAGCTAAAGAAGTATGTAAGGAGCGTAGTAGGTGGCGCTCTGTAGTTTCTGTATACCATCAGATGTATGAATGTGGTGGAAGCTAAAGAAGTATGTAAGGAGCGTAGTAGGTGGCGCTCTGTAGTTTCTGTATTCCATCAGATGTATGAATGTGATGGAAGCTAAAGAAGTATGTAAGGAGCGTAGTAGGTGGCGCTCTGTAGTTTCTGTATACCATGGAACAAAGGCGTGTGTGCAAGCTAATGCTATTTTCTTGTTAAAATGTATGTACATTTAGCCAATAGATTTAATAATTACTGATTGCTGTGGGAATTTAAAGACAATACATAGGTTTTAGTGGCTGTATAAGTAAATGATAATTTAGTCATAAAAGGTATTGTTCTTAGCATTAATACTTCAACACTGTTCGAGTGAAGTTATTGGTTAATTATTTTGTATATTGGAAATGTATAATAATTTTTGTTTTGTATTTTTCTTCGTGGTTATCAAATGTAAGTATTTAGTTTACATAATTATTGTAATGTAGGTTTTCATTTATTATTTTAGTTAAATGATTAGTGAAAGCATAAAATAGTCTTTTATTGCTCTGTCTCAAATGTGTGTAAGTGGTTCAATTCCTACTCCGGAGAAATATTTACAAAATCTGTACCTACTTTATCGTAACTATAATTCTGGTCAATCCAGTGTTTGTGGAAAATGAATTTTGTTAGGATTTTTTACTATTACAATTACCGAGAAAACAGTCTCGGGTTCGATACCCGGGCGAGAAATATTGATTTTAACAATTCTGAGTATTTACCTACATAATAGGATGTAGCCTATAATTTGAAAATAGGCAAATAAGTATACTAGTCACATGATAGACTACAGCGCTTAATAAACCATTAGACCACGGATGGGGCTAATGCCAGATGTGGAGCCGCGGAAGGCTAAACGGGTTGCCGAGGCTCCGGCTCGACGTGCAGGAGTAAGAACGGGGTGGTTTTTAGTCAGTAAGAGTCTGACACTCCCTCCCGCCTCACCCAAGGTGCCCGAGAAGTCATTGGATGATTTTCGTACCACAAAAAAATAAAAAATCACACAGTAGACGACAAAATAAGTCAACATTACTTTATTATAGGTAGATTGCTCTTTTGGGGATTAAAAGCCTTGATATTATGTGTCATCCAGGTCTTCCAATCGCTACAATAGTGCTGGTAGTGATACCAGAAGATGTTCCAGCGGGTTTAGCAGCTATTTATGGATTTGCGCCACCCCTACATAAAGGTAACATAAGCTAATGGCCACTATTGATCGTGAAAATATTAAACAAATTAACTAAAATCGCGGGTTACTCACGTGAATATACTGAGAAAAGCTCTACTAGTTTGAAACCTAACTACCCCTCTGTGGTAGTAGTCGCGGAGAACCTAACGGGTAACCGGGGCTCCGGCTCGACGTGCAGGAGAAGGAACGGGGTGGTTGTTAGTCAGTAAGAGTCTGACACTCCCTTCCGCCTCACCCAGGCGGGAGCAGTCATTCGATGATTTTCCCACCTTAAAAAAAAAAAATAATAAAAAAAACCCTCTGTGGTTCAAAACTAGTAGAGCTTTTCTCGGTATATTCACGTGAGTAGCTCGGATTTTTAGTTAATTTGGTATGTCTCACGATAGTTGTTATAAAAAAATATTAAACAATTTTAAAAGAATTTTTGAAAGTTATAAGTACCTAAATCGTTAAAGTCATCGAAGATCTAATAAGCACGCCTTCAACCCAGCAATAAATTTGCTATTTAAATATGAACATTAAATCGTATTTCGTATGATATATTTCATAACGCTAATACAAAAAGCCGACGGTGGGTGGTCAGCGCGTCGTCCACTCGAGGTCCACGCCTCGACCACTCGAGGCGCCTGTGTGCGTACGGCGCGGCGTCGGTGAGTTGACGGCGAGCAACCCGCCGGGCGCCAGCGAAACAACGTCGCATCGTAGGTAGGTATTTTTCAGTATAGTTGTGCCGACTATACTGAAAAATACTGACTGCCTCGTTGGCCGATTGGTCACAACTGCGACTGCCGGGCAAGGGGTCTCGGGTTCGATTCCCGGGACGGGCAAAATACAACTGGGTTTTTAAAAAAAAAAATCTCAGTAGTAGCACGGAGTCTGGAAATGTGCCCGGTATATGGCAATAGGCGCACTCCCTATGACATGGGACTCATAACATAAATAGTGAAAAGTGGGTGTTACTTCTGTGTGCACCTCTGCCTACCCCTTCGGGGATAAAAAGGCGTGATGTTATGTTGTGTTATGTTGTTGTGCCGACTGCACGTCGGCCGCGCACCGCCAAAGAGGGCTTCACCGCAGAGACCGCGCGCTTCAAACTCGCGGGAAGCGCGCGGTCGGCACAAGTACCTAGAGGTATAGTCAATAACACCTACGATAAGACTTTGTTTTGCTGGCTGGAGGTGGGCAGCGGTGGCGCGCCGCCGCCGCTCGCGAGCGCCTCGACTACATCTCGAGTGGACTGCGTGCTGACCTTCGGCTTTTTGTATTGACGTTACGAAATATGTATAACATACGACATACGATTTAAAGTTCATATTTAAATGACGAGTTAATTGGAGTTGGAGGCGGGCTTATTAGATGTACCTTTAGTCTATAGGTCGGTACTCGGTATATCAGTAGTCCTCTAGTGAAACTGTTTACTCGTCACAAAGTATAGATTCCTATGTAAAAGAACGAGGATGAATGATTTCATATTTTATTTCCATTCTAGGCAACGACCACCGTTTCGGTTTCGGCTTCCGTCTCGGCAATCATGCGGACTTTCAAATTCTTTACGAATTTGGACCTCAACTTGTAACTAAACCTCTGCAATCTTCACGTAAGTAATACATGGTACCCAGAGCCGTATTATTCTAAGACAAGTGCCGGGCGCCAGACATGCACAACGCGTGGCGCCCACACTGCGGCGGTGGCGCCAGAAAAATAAGGGCGCCAATAAGGTGCTTGCCTAGGGCGCTCTCTGGGTTTAATCCGACTCTGATATTACCTACCGTGTCTACCGTAACTATGAATTACTTTTAAGGAAAGGAAAGAAGTATTCTTAAAGAAAAAGTTAATTCCATTATCTATCAGTACATGTTCTTTTATTGTTGGACATCTTCTTATGACTTATCTCTTGAAATTCTGTAATCCCAGTTCTTAGCAAGCGGCTTGGCATTCGTAATTATGTCACTATACAATTTTACTCAGAATATAGGAGGTTTGAAATATCGTTATTTTTGAGCAACGACGTCTAGTTTTCGAGATATTTCTTGATTTTGAAAAATATTAGCTTTTTAAGTATATTGCACCTATTGTACACCTAGTATATTGCGCCTAGCTTCACTGACGGATATATTGGCAGACTATAATTCACTTTATATTTATTGACGTTTCAAATGTACCAAATTATGGTTTAATTGAAATAAATGCTTTTGAGTTTGAGTTTAGGAGAAAAATATTAGCTGTTTTAGTATATTATACATAACTGTGGAATGATCTGTCGTCGGCAGTATTTCCAAACCGATACGACCTTCAAACCTTCAAGAAAAGAGCGTATTCCTTTATAAAAGGCCGGCAACGCATCTGTGACTCCTCTGGTGTTGAGAGTGTCCATGGGCGGCGCTGATCGCTTACCATCAGGTGATACGTCTGCTCGTTTGCCTCCTATTCCATAAAAAAATATTGCTTCGGCACCAATGGGCCGACTCGATTAGACATTGATGATGATGATGATTATGATGGAAAGAAAGAAGAAAGAAAGAAAAAACATTTATTTAGCACCAGGCACGATGCAGCATAAATAAAAAAAGACAATCAAGATGTGACAGTGGAAGTAATAAAAATATAAGAGTTGAAAAATTTAAACAGAAGAATTAGAAAAGAGACGCTGACAACATGATTATATCTTTAACATTGCAGGAGTCCGTTCAACGTCATACCGGCAACGCTTCGCGCGACGTCGCCCTGTATTCGAGCTGCTGGTTAGAGCCGGCATCATCAAGAGGAACTATGATTATAATGTCATTGAAGAATGTGATGATGAACCTAGATAGAAGTTACTTTCCTATTTTAAAGCTTGTAAACAAAATAAAAATAAA